TTTGATCTGGATTTTTTTTCTGTTACTCATTTGCTGGTTTGTTTGCTCTTTCTGTATTTGTACTTAGTTTTTTCTTTATTTTATTGGTTCTTTCAATTGTTTTGTTTTTATGACAGTCAGTTGTTTCTAGCCTTTCATTATTTTGTTTGTTCTTTCTTTCTTGTGTCATTTCAATTGTCTTTTCATTTTCTATCTTGTCTTTCATCTGTTTTCGTTTGTTGCTCTTGTTATATTTGTATTTTTTTGAGTGTCTGATTTGATTTGTTTATTTTTACTCTTTTTGTTTGTTCAGTTTTTTATTAATTTGCTGTTTTGAATGTTCTTATGATAGTCCGTTCTTTCTTGCTCTTTTTTGGTCTTTAATTCACTTTTTGTATGTCCTTTTAAATTTCGTTCTTTTCTTTGATTCTTTTGGTTTTGTTTGTTTCTTTGTTTCTGTTTTTTTTCATGCTTTTATTTGTTCTTTGGGGAAAAAGCATTTTTTTCATGCTTTTATTTGTTATTTGTTTGTTTTTTTTCATTCAGCTGTCCCTTTAATTGCCTTTTTTCTTTTTTTCTTTCATTCTGTTTTCATTGCATTGAATTTACATTCTTACCAGACACTTTCTTACCAAAGCGCCTTCCAAAGTGCACAAATCATGTTTGAGCAAATACAAGGACAGGCAGCTGAGAGAACACACCGCTTGCTTAACTAAGCCTTAGTTACCAGGAAGCTCTCAACAACTATCCAAACATCAAGTCTCTTCTGTCTCCTTCCCCCTCAGGCCATAGTTTCTCAACAGGACAGCCACATCGAGCTCCAGCGGGCCTCTTTCCTCACCGCCGAGCGGGACCGGCCCGGCAGCCGGAACCGCGGCACCGACGTGCTCCTGGAGCAGGAGAAGCAGCGGAACCTGGAGAAGCACCGCGAGGAGCTCGCCAACTTCCAGCGGCTGCAGAGCCAGCATCGGCAGGAGCAAGCGCGCTGGGAACGGGAGCGGGAGAGGCAGCGGCGGCAGGCGGAGGCAGACCAGCAGCGGCTGAAGGAGAAGGAGGACGAGTGTCGCCGGCTGGAGGTGCGTTTGGCCGAGGACAGGCAAGAACTGGAGAGGCAAAGACAGACGTACCAGCAAGACCTGGAGAGGCTGAGAGAGTCCACACGTGCGGTTGAGAAAGAGAGAGAACGGTTGGAGCAACAGAGGAAGCTGAAGAAGCACAACACGGTGCCGAATACTGCGGCTCTTTACGCACAGGAAGTTGGACAGGTGAGATGCCACCTGACTCGAGTTGTTTCCATTCTTACTGTCTGTCTCTATAAGAATCTTGGTTCTCTTGGATGGCCACAAAATCTAAAACTACTTAACAATCTGAAGTTCCTTTAGACAGGTTTCTAAATACTTCCTTATCATCATACCAGTTCGACTAGTTGACACAAAAATGTAAGATTACATGCAAAATATTCAGGCTAAACCTAAAACTTAGCGCTCTCCAAAAACGTTCACCCTTGAATGAATTTTTAAGCATCCAAACAATTGTTTTGTGTTTAGCATCATGGTCAAATATTTTGGACAGTTTTGATTTGTTTTGAAATCTTTGTTGTACGTGTTTCCAGAAAGTTTGGACCCGGGTTTATTTGCATATCTAGGCCTACTCTTCAGAAGTTTGGTGTCTGTAATGTTTTTTTTATGTTTCTTAATCTCACCTGGCTTTATTTGATCAATGGCTATTTTTGTGGAGACCGTGATTTCTTTGATGAACAAAAAGTTCAAAAGGAGCAGCATTTATATGAAATGGGAATATTTTGTAACTCTTTAATTTACTTTTGATAAATGGAATGCATTTTTGCTGGATAAAAGTATTCATTTCTTTAAAATAAATCTTACTGACCACAAACTTTTGAACTGCTAAAGCAGTTAGCTAAAGCTAAAGAAATCTTGATAGTTAAAGTATTTCAATATTCTATATTTATCTCTATTAATGGCTTAATGACATTTTTTTTTTGTCAGAAATGATCACCATCAATTCAAACAAACAGCCATTGTTGTTAAAAATAATACAGTAAAATGTAATTTAAAAAAAACATTTTTCAAAAAAAAAAAAAAAAAAAGTTTTTATGTACCAATATAACAATACACACTAATATAAATTAATATTAATTTATATTCCTATTTTTAGCAAAACCTTATGAAACGATTGCTCAAGGAATCAAACTGAGCAACACTGAAGCTGAAGTTTAACTCGAATCTGTCATGAATATTTGCTATTCAGGGAAATGGCATTATACATGAAATTAGCATGATGTCACCTCTCCGCTCTCTTTCAGTGCCACACGTTATTATAAAAACAAGGTGTAGGTGTGCCAGCTGAGAGCATCTGCCTTTCCCACGGTCTCCTTTCAGCTTCTCTGTACAGGACAATCCATGGGAACAATGTGGCACTGTGTGGTTTCATAGCAGTGGCTTTGCTGATCGACCTGCCACCCTGCCCTACCTGTTTGCTGATGAGTCTGCTAGATTACCCAAGAAGCTCTCTGGGAAAAAAAGCAGACACTCGGTCAAGCGTTGTTTGAACAGTCTTATCCGGCTCACAAAAAGCCTCTGTAAACAGCGTAGAACAAAAGCCACATATTGTGCGATTTCCAGGTCTCGGTACTGAAACCATCCCATGCATTTTTGTCCAACAGTTTGACTAACTCCATCTGTTTGTGGTCAAACTCAGGAATTCTTCGTGATTTTCCTTCAGTCACGTTAAACTGATATGAGCGACACAGCCTGTCTGTCCGGTTGCGTGTGCATACTTGATGACTAGCCTCTTTCATTTTGACAGATTCCTCAGAAATGAACGCTGGACAAGGCGTCTTTCAGCCTCCGTTTAGACGTGGCCTGTGGAACCTCCAGAAACGGGGAACTTTCCTAATGGGCCGTTATGCTGTGACGTTAGCGATTTTAATAGGCAGTGGCCAAACGAAATGCAATCCAGCCAGGATCAGTTACGATCAGTGTTAGTCATTTTACAGCATTAAGGAGGAATGCGCATTTTAAGTTTACGGTCCGAAATCAAACGGCCACAGCCGGGCGTGTGTTTGCACTGCTGGGTTACAGATGAGCGTGAATCAGTGCTTTAGTGGAGAAGAATGAATGAAGGGACAGAGAAAAAGCATATTTTCAAAATCAACTAGTCATCGAGTTGTCAAAACGACTTGTTGACTACTCGGTCTTAAGGAAGCCCTGTGTTATTTCCTTTATTTAGTCATGTATGCGGTTTGTTAAAGGGTTAACTCACCCAATCTTCATGCACTCACCCTTATGTTGTTTCAAACCTGTATGAGTTTCTTTCTTCTGTTGAACACAAAAGACATTTTGAAGAATGTTGGTAGCCAGACAGTTGATGGTACCCATTGACTTCCATAGTATTTTTTTGTTCCTACTATGGAAGTGAACTGTCGTCAGAAACAGCCCCCTGACAGTAAGTTGCCGCAGCTCTGCTGTTCATTGTATGTTTTTGAGGTCACGCAGGCATGTCCGGTCATGCCTGGCCTTGTCGGATTTCCTGTGATCTCGGCTTATCTCAGGTTAGTACGGCTATGAGTCCATAGTAACCGTCTGTCCATGGTGCCAGGCTTCAGACCTTGTTTAAACATATGCCATATATAGAGATTTATCAGGACAAAGCTTATGCTTTTCGGTTCATTGAGAATGTTCTAGTTTCATATGAGCGCTTGTGAGTGTTCATTGAATTTGTTATGACCTAAAAACATTGGAATGAATCAGATTAAGCACATGGACAAAACATTTTGGCAAGTCGTTTTAACGGTTTCAGTACGATTTTATGCTTTCCTAATTGTGTCGTCCGTCTTTGTTTTGAGTTTCAACCGTTTCCTGGACTAGTTTTATTATCCGCTGTTTTGTTTTATTATCCGTCTCAGTGTCGGCTGTCATGTCTGATATAATGGGGGTTGTTTGACCTGGATGAGACCTGGTCTTTTGTTACTGCCTTAGTCACTTCCTTTTGTTAAACCAGGGCTCAACTCTTAAGATAACGTCGAATTTTGTGTCTTTCATGTGCTGCTTATCTATCTTATCTCTCGCTCGCTCGCTCATACAGTGCAGGTCAAAAGTTTGAAACGATTAAGAATTTTTAATGTCTCCTGCTCACCAAGGCTGCATTTATTTGGTTCAAAATACAGTAAAAACAGTAATATTGTGAAACATTATTACAATATAAAAAAGCTGTTTTCTATTCTAATATATTTTAAAGTGTAATTTATTCCTATGATCAAAGCTGTATTTTCAGCATTATTACTCCAATTTTTAGTGTCACATGATCCTTTAGAAATCATTATAATATGATTTGCTGCTCAATCGGTACTCATTTTTTATTAATGGTCATTATTATTATTGCTTAATATTTTTGTGGAAATCATGATAATTTTCTTTCCTTGAATAGAAAGTTCAAATGAACAGCATTTATTTTAATAGAAATATTTTGTAAAATTATACATGTCTTTACTGTCACTTTTGATGAACTTAAAAGTATTAATTTCTTTCTTAAAAAAAAAAAAATCCTTTTACCCCAAACTTTTGAATGGTAGTGTATCACAGTTTCCACTAAAGTATGAAGCAGCTCAACTGTTTTCAAAATTGTTAATAATAATAATAATAATAATAATGTTCCTTAAGCAGCAAATCATCATCATATTATAATGATTTCTGAAGGATCATGTGAAACTGAAGACTGGAGTAATGATGCTCCAAATACAGCTTTGCAGCATAGGAATAAATTACATTTTACAATTTATTCCAATACAAAACAGTTATTTTAATTTGTAATATTATTTCACAATATTACAGTTTTTACTGTATTTTTAAATAAATAAATGCAGCCTTGGTGAGCGAGTTGGTGACTTCTTTCAAAAACATTATTCCAAACTTTTGACCGGTAGTGTATTCCCCTTAAATTTGACGTCCAGCTTTTCAAAGGAGACAACTTAAATATGGCCGAGTATATTTTGCTTTTGTAAGATTTATATTCCACGTTCCTGTTTCCAAGGAGTCTGTCTTTGTGATGCTTCATCGTGAAGTAAAAACACCCAACACAAGCCTTCAGAAACAGGTATTTAGCACCATGATTTAAGAGCCACGTTTCCAGCAGCGAGCCCTTCCGACCAGCCCGTGCACAGCAGAGTTGCTCCAAATGAATATTTGCTTGAAGTATCCAGGGAAGTCTTGAGTTGGGAAAACCGCAAGGTATAATTACCTGCTAGCACCCTTTCATTAATACCAGCGCTGGAATGCAGCCAATCCTAATTGTTTATGTGATGTCAGTCAAGTCTTTGTGCCGAAAACCTTGCACATTTTTACGCTCTGGAAACCTTATATTTACTGAAGGCACCTTAAGGACTGGAAACAATGGAGCATCTGTGTTGGAATCCCAGCATTTGGGAAAACTAACATGGTTCAAGATGATGTCGCCCTGGGCAAGTTGGAGAAGGTCAGGCTTTTCCAACCTCTAGATGATTGACAATTTCAGAGGAAAATGTTTGGATGTTCTCCTAAACAGCATTTTTGTCCCTTTTTTGGTGAAATTATGGAAATTGGAGGGTGGAATTGTGACTTTCTGAAGCATGATGAACAGATTCAGGAGGGCGGCACTAGTTTCCATCACATCTTAAGGTGTGAAGAAGATTGGCCATCTTCTCCGCACCTTTAAGTAGAACAGGACATGATTATTCAATCTTTTCCAAGTGTGTTGATACGTCATGGTTAATTATTTGAACTCCTTGAACACATTTTTAAGGTTTACTTCTAGGTACTTCCCAGGAATTGCATAATCACTGTTGGGCCCTTGAGCAAGTCTTCTTTACACCAGGTGGACAAACATCCAAAGACTGCACACTATGTCCTTTGGATGAAAAGGACTTGGAGGGAGCCGCTCACTAACTGTTAGTGGCTGTTGTGCATTAATAATCTTCACCTCATACTGAACTTAGACCTTTCATGTGGAGCTGTCTTCAATTTGTGTTACATTTTATGCCTGTGTTGACTGCGCATCAGACGTCTTTGTTCCGCACGCAAAGCAGCATGTGTTTTACATTTAGCTTTGTCCTGTAAATCCCAAACTCTTCATACTGGATTTCCTACATTGCACATTAGCTCGGTATTTCCTGTGCTTAAACATGGACGTTGCTCTTCAGAAGCTGAGTTTAAATAGTCTCAACAAACTTTTTGGTCCATAATATTTACTAGATGCTTTCATTCAAAGTAATAGTTGAAGACAAGTGATTTATCTCAACAATTTCAGCTGTATTGTTTGAAGTTCTGCAGTTGGTACAATTCTTGGTTATTCATGAATCGACTTTATGTACGTTGTCCCACTGAATTCAGTGCAACAGATTATGAAAAAATGGCTTTCTGTACAATTTACAAAGATCTGATCGGACTGAACGATTATTGCGTAATGCTAATTTCAATATAAATAGTTTTTATGTTTGTGTATAATTTGTCGTATTTGATTCTGTTGTTAGCAAATCCATTCTCATGTAATTTGTTTGTTCACGCGTACGATCACACCTGTGTGATTAGAACGGTCAGTGCATCACGTGATCAACTGCTAAATTCAAACGTGCTTTCGCGCGTTGGCTGGTGCTGAGCCAGAGACGGACGCACTCAGTCATGTCATATATCACAACTATTGAGTGTTTTCAACCACATAATGTTTATTTTAGGTTTCAGACATTTGAATACACATAAGTACTAGCAAAACAATGATTTTGAGTTTGTAAAATACACACTGATGTCTATGGAAGCGGCAATAATAATCCTTTCCATTATAATAAGACGACACGTTTTATTCATATCAGATACACATTGTGTAAGTAGCTTTACATTTGACCCTATTCTTCTCCCAGTTCACCGGCCACTTACTTTCATGTATTTCGAGAGAAGTGGAGGAATTGACGTGTTGTAAATCCAACAGATCCGATTCTCTGAACTGTAAAACAAACAAAAATGGCGCCGCCCATTGTGCATACAGCTCAACTAACGCGATCGTTATAAAGATGTTTAAACAGCAAAACCCATCCACTTGCACATATTTGACAATCGGAATATCAGTGTTTCATGCTATAGCTAATACATTTGTGAATATTTTTGATAAAAAAGGAAAAATTACATAAAAGCAGATCATCATTCATTCAGCGCTGTGTTGTGGTTGCGCTGTGTTGACAAGCAATGACGCGTCACCATGGAAACATTAAAGTGACAAGTTCTAAATAACGGTCGCCTTGAAAAACTCACGCTGGGGGGTCAGTTAGAATATTTTAAACTTGCGTGTGAAAGGGTTAAATTCATTGTAAAGCCATTTTTGGATAAATTGTTGCATTTAAATCAGTTTTTCATAAATTCATTCTTGTATAAATTGTAACATTCAATTCAATCATTCATGAATCCGTTCTTGCGTAAATGGTTGCATTCAATTCAATTGTTCATAATTACATTCATATATAATTTGTTGCGTTCAACTCCATTCGTGTAAATAGTTGCATTCAGTTCAACGATTTATGGTCCCATTCTTGCAAAAATTGTCACATTTCGTACAAATTTATACAAGTTAATCCTGCAAGTGTTTCGCGATTCTCTATGATTGTATCTGAAGAGGTCTAACATTTTTTTGTGCATGCTCTCTTTATCTTTGCAAAATTGTCATAGTTTTGTCCTCATACTAATGCATCCGATGAATTAAGGTGTTAATCAACCCCTTTGCCTGAAATTGCTTATCCACATGCGGTGCTAAAGTTTGCATTTCACTTTTGTGTTTTAGCTTTCCGTTTCCTCCAGCTTCAACGGGGAACTGCTGTACGGCGGAGCAGGGGACCAGGCGCTTCCTCAAAAGTCTCTCCTGCGGGCCACTCTCTCAGCATCCCCCGCCGACTACCCCGAGCGTCCTGAAGTCCACTCGCGCCGAGAGAGCTCCTGCAACACCCTGCCGGCCAAGACTGAGGTTCCCATCCATCTCATCAGCACCACCAACCAGCTGCACAAGCAGGGCAGCGTCCAGCAGCAGATACCGACCAAACTCGCTGCCCTCAGCAAGGGCAAGGAGAAGAGCGGGAAGGGCAAGAGTTCGCACCGCACCGAGAGTTTGGGTCAGTACCACACTGGTCTGTGTCAGAGCATCTAATGACGTTCTTTGGGGGCCAGTTTGCTGATTTCTAAATCCGTCTTCTGTTTCACGGCTTCTGCTGGCATGAAGCGGATGCTGCTTTGAGAGGAACATTACAAATTTTGCATTGCGATGGCATTTTCATTACATTTTACTCCCAAATTGTCATTACCATAACTTATTCTCATTACCGTGATGCAAAGAAATTTTTTTTTTAAATCATTTTATTATTATTTGAATACATTTAAATTAAATATAATTGTAACTACTTTAATGTTTTTAATTTATGCTTAATTAATAAGCATTTTATTTTTTAATAAAATGTAGTTTTATTAATGCAATTCGGGGTTTTTTTTTGTTACTGTATTACAGTAATGAGAATTTCACTTTATTTATTTTTTAATGAGAACTTTGGGGGGAAATGTGTTTGTTTGCAAATTTTCAGTGCAAAATTTAAACCATCCAAATAGGCTTTCTCAGAAAATGCACATTTATTTTTTATAAAAGGGGATACAAAAGTTGTCTGAACAAATAAGATTTTTGTTATTGTATTACAGCAATGAGAATTCTATCTTATTTATTGTTTTTGGTAACACTTTATTTGACAGTTTTCTTGATATACATAATTACCTGTACTTATACTGTAGTAATAACAGTAAATTATGCATAATTACATGCTACCAACCTAACCTTTGTTTTATTATTTTTTCCATCACGGAAATGAGAAATGGGGGGAAATGTTTCATTGTTTAAGGTAAAACAAAGGCAATTGTTTAAGGTAAAGCCTAAAATAGGCTTTATTTTCTTTAAAAATAGAATCTTTTATTTGGGGTAAATTATTGACAGTTCCATTTTAAGATTAGTGCCGAACAGAGCAGTTCATTGTGGCATGAAGGTAGTTTGTCTCTTTTGTTGTCAAATATAGTCATAGATGATGTTTTTGGGTCAGTTTGCGACCACCTAACAATGTTCTTTGGGAGTGAATTTGCTGATTCCTAAATCCGTCTTCACTTTTTCACAGCTTCTGTTGACATGAAGCAGATGCTGCCCGTCAAGCTGTCAGCGAGGGATTCGGATGGAGGGCACAAAGCACGCCGGCCCATCAGCCCCCACCAACCACAACATTCACACTCAGGTAAGACAAACAACCGCACCCGACATTCCCGGCTCAGCCTGGACGGGCCGTGTCCCGCTGTGTAAACAGTTATTAGGCCCAGCTGACAGGCCTGTTGTCTGGTTTGCTCACCCTGCAGATTCCCTCATCCCTCCAGACGCTTACACAGACGCCCAGTCCAGCCTCGCGCCCGCCGCTCTCAAAACCCACAACCAGACCTCCCAGTACACTGTTAATGATGAAGCCGTCAAGGAGGACGTCATCTTTTTCTGAGCTCAGCATCCGATGGGACGTAAAGACTTTGCGTTGACGTTTCGGCCGGTCTTGATTCTTTACACAACGAACACATTTTAATCCCGTCTTAACTACTAACAAGTTTTATTGCAGCCTGTAAAAACAACAGGAAAAGTGTTTTAATTCGTGCGAAAAAATAAAAGGAGCATGTCCAGAAAACCCAAAGACTTTGACGGACAGCTTCAAGTGAAGTTAACTAACATGGAGAATTCTGTAGCATGCGCTCCGAACGTGCGATATGAAGGATAAATGGATGTTTTTGGTCGCGTATTGTTGTGGTGAGCTAATTTGCACAGCGTCAATGTCCCATTTCATTTCAAACACTGTATTTGGGACAACAATTTTCTGCAGAAGGATTCGGTTTGGTTTCAATTATAGTTAGTGGTCACTCTGGAAAGTCATTGTGGAAAACTTATGGAAAAAGACAAATAGATTGAACGTTTTCAATTTAAGTAACACATACTTGTTCACATACTGGTTTATTCTGTCCAAGATATTGTGTTTCTGACCGTACACTGTATACATTATTTTTATTTGATAATTAATATTCAATCCATTTCAGTGGTCGTTTTATTCACGTCGAAGATTTTTTCCAAACGATCATAAAAAAAAAAAGCAGTGAACGTGAAGAGAAACCAAGATTCTGTTTTTAATCTTTATATTAGTAGGTCTTTAAACAGAATGAAGCAAATTATCTCAATATTTTGAGGTTACATTCAAATTAAACTAATTTGAAGGACACAAATGTTTCAGATGTTAAATAAGCCATATTTTCAGCTTTCCAAATAATCAAAAGGTCCATCTAAGACATGAATTTGTTTAAATATACGCAATTGAATTCACAAAAACTCAAGGAGTTTCACCCCCCCCCCCCCCCCCCCCCCCCCCCCCAAAATTAAAAATGAGTATCATTACAATTTTGGTGTTATAATGTAATTTTCATTACATTTTACCCTCAAATTATCATTACTATAATGCAGAAACATTCTCATTACCGTGATGTGAATTTTTTTTTTTTTTTTTATTGTTTTAAAATTATTCAAATCATTTAAATAAAATAGATGTATAGTAAGTATACATCATGGTAGTATTTGCTTTGCTGTTTTTAATTTATGCTATTTTTTTTATATATATATAAAATGGGCAAAAAATTGTTGTCTGGTAAAATAGATTTTTGTTACTGCATTACAGTAATGAGAATTTGATTATTTATTTTTCACATTACGTTATAATGAGAACTTTGGGGGAAAATGTGTTTAATTGCAGACTTTCAATGCAAAATTTAAATCATCTATTTTAAAAAATTTATTTGGGTAAAATATGACCTGCTCCATTTAATATTAGTGCCAAAATTTAGTAGTTTGCCCTTTTTGTAAAACACTGTGGTAGATGTATACGTTTCTTTTTTTTTTAAAACAGTTAACTTGGTTTTCTTACCCATCCTAGTTATTTCCACATTCAAAAAGGAATTTTTGTAACATCGTTTCCTGTAAACAGATTTACTTTTCGCATTTCCTCCTCTCTTATGACCCACATTCATTCCATTCCATGTCTAATTTAAGTCCCTAAAGCTGTCAAGTATTTCTTCTGTTCTCAAGTTGACCACAGAAACGTGATGTGTGATGTAATACTTACTTTGGATTTCAGAGTAATGCCACCAAAGACTAGGACTTAAACCACTCCGTTTCATGAGCTGTGAGTATCAAGTCACTGAACGATCTCTGACGGTCGTTTCCTGCGACCATATGATTTGTATGTATATGTTGTTGTACATAGTTTCCTTCTAACATAGATGAGATGTAGATATTATGCAAGGATGTCATGTGACCACTGGAATTACAGATGGTTATAGCGCTCAATCTGGGTGTAATTTTATTTCATTTTGTAGGCACTTTTTTCTTGAAAAAAATTAAGTCCGTCATTCAGCCTTAGTGTTTTTATTTTTGTTTAAAAACGACCCATAATGCATTGCTTTTGGATCCCATTTCAGCTTATTTTTGATGTTGTCGTTTATAAAACGGCTGTTCGATTTGATATTAATCCTACATATTAGTTTCTAGGTCCAATGCTTTTCAGTGGTGCAAGTGAAGGAATATTCACACCGTAGCAGATCGGTTCTGACTGTCAACGAAGCATAAATTAATCATGTGATGTTTTAATGAAGTGAATGATACTGTTCGCCTCACCTCTTTAGCTGCAGCGCACTTTACTTCCCAATGAACTGTTCTCTTTGATTTCTTGTATTTCTACAAATGTGAGCTTAAAAAAAAATCCATCATGTCGCTCTAAATTGTCACTTGATCCGTCCGGCATGCATTGTGACTGTAGCTTCTTGGTGTCTGTGATTGTACGACATTATTGTACGGTGTTATTACTTTGTGGTATTGTCAGATTGTTTCAGATATGTCCAAAAAAATTTTTTTTTTTTTTTTTCTGTTTCCAGTTACACTAGCCACTTTTCAATACCAGCTAACTTTAAGGGGACCTCAAGTGTTAATGTTTCTGATGTTTCTTGTCTTAAGGATTTAGCAAGCAAGGCCAGTGTGAATTTTTTTCGTACCACACCATTTTACTCACTCTACCGAAGAAAAATAGAAATACTTGTGAACACTTAAAACTGCTGCCTTTAGAGACATTTTAGTAATAAAATATGTGAAAATAAATCTGCTTCATGCTTTACTCTTATTCAAACCTCCCTGTCTTTGTGTCCATGTAAAAAAAAAAAAAAAAAAGATCTGGAATGACCGACCACATTGCTATAATTTGTGGACGCAAGGCTTTGTAGAATGCTGTATCCCATAATGCAATGTGCCCAACTTGACCTTTCACTTTCTGTGCGCTCAATAAAACATGCAATGTCTAACATCTTTTTTGTTTTATGTGCGAAATTAATAACTTGAGCGCCACTAAATTGATTAAACGCACAAACAATGTGGCATACTGCTCTTAGAAATGTTTTTATTTTCCCAGAATATAATTATCATCTAAAATTTGCTGCGACTTATAAAGCGTCTTGTATAATACAATGTCAAAACGTGAACCTCTAATTAGCTTGTTTCATAATTATAGTTTTCATTCCTGTCCTGTTCAGAATACCGATAAATCTATAGTGACGGGAACTAAAATTTACGTTTATAGTGTTCGGTAGGCTTACAAATTCGCTCGCTCTTCTCGGCAGCAGCGGGAAAATGTAGTGGGCGTGGTTAATCTGTCACTTCGATCCAGGGTGACCAATAGAAAAGGGCCTTCCATCCTGGTTGGTAGAGACCGCCCACTGACACATCGCTTCATTCGCAAGCAAATTTTTCAACTCGCAAGCAAAAGATTTATACCTGCAAAAAAGACAACAGAAAAGAGAGCAAAATTTGTGCGTTTGTGTTAAAGTGTTCGAAATGCACAAAGAAAAATAAAGGTTTTCAAAGATTTACATGCACTGCAAATAACTTTATCATCAACTTCTTTATTTTTGAGCCTTAAGAAGACTTTTCCGCAATCTTTTAATTTTAATTTTTTTAATTACAAAATAATTAGTTTTACTCTCAATATGTTTGATTGAAAAAAAAGACACATTTGAAACACAAATGAAACTCCATAAAAATATGTAACATTTATTTAGATAGGAAAATAAAAAACAGTGCATGTACAGTAGTAGGCTATACTGTGTAGTAGCCTACGCAACTATTCCGTTTTGAACACAGGCTGTAGGCCTAACGTCACGTGTCTTGCCCATGGTTTTGACTGGACAATTTACAATTGAACTTGACCGCAAAGGAAACTCAAACGTAAGTATAACAGTGCTTATGTTATGTAGTATCTTCCGCGCTGTGTACGGACAATATGGTTTTATTTCCGTCACTCTGCGCTCATGTGAGCGCGTGACCCCACTGGCCGCTGTCTGTTGATTCTGGCCCGGTTCTCACAGGAAATGAGCCGGAGCCCAACTTAACAGGACCCGGTGGCCGTGTCTCTCAGGCCATGCTAATTGTAGAGCTGTGGCGGAACAAAGCTATTTTCAGGTGTTGTGGTTTTCCTTTTATCCAATCCGGATCTCACAGCCGCGTGTCCAGTTCCTGAGTAGTTCTTTACCAGATGATGTCTCGGTCTCTTGCTTTTGTTATGGTTTTCTGTCCGTTTGTGTCTTCTTTTTTTTTAGATGCTATGCTGCGAGACAAACCCTGTCTGGTTCACAAGTGTCTTTAGGCACGTCACTCATTTTTTAATTGTAACGTTAGTTGTTTTGTGCAAAGACCTCTGTCCGCAAACGAAAACAAACCTCATGCTGTTGATTTGTCGACTTGTCTCGGCTGTAAAAGTAGACAGAAATTCGCTTGAAGAATTAGTCCACACTACATTGGTAGTGCTCTAGACAAATTACTAGGGAGTATTTAATAATATGTATTGTAGCCTAATATGCTAATATATATTGTTTAGTATAAATTTGTTCCAGATTGATTATATCACTGTATTTGTGCCATTCTGTAAGAGTATTTTTACTTGTTTAATAGCACATGTTGTGTTGGTTATGGACTATGTAAATTCTTTCTTAGAATACCATTGAATGTGAATATATTTGCATCGTTATTGACATGTCATATGAACTACCAGTAAGTCTCACAAACGTTTTATTTCTTGTTTTTGTTTTTTGTTTTCTCACAAACTTACCACATCAGTTATCGTGCGGCTTCATTTTGAATCAAGCATGACCGAAAAGTGACTTATGGTTCAATGAGTCAGTTGCGTCCCAAATGACGCACTTATACCCTATATACTTGTGCACTATGTACTCAACTGTGTAGTGCACCCGGAATGCGATTTTTACCTCCAGGAATGCAAATTTTTTAGTCTGTAACACTCTCAAAGTGTCGATGCTAGAACTGCTAATTTTGTAGACTAGCTGCTAGGCTAACACTTTTACCAGCATGATAGTGTCTAAAATCTCTCTCTCTCTCTCTCTCTCTCTCTCTCTCTCTCTCTCTCTCTCTCTCTCTCTCTCTCTCTCTCTCTCTCTCTCTCTCTCTCTCTCTCTCTCTCTCTCTCTCTCTCTCTCTCTCTCTCTCTCTCTCTCTCTCTCTCTCTCTCTGTTGCATAACAGCTCTGCCAAGTCTAGACCAGTGATCGTGTCCCATGCAGGCCATATAACTTCCTGTCCTGGCCTCATAAAAATAAATGCATTTTGTGTATTTTTCTCTGTGTCCATGGAAACTATTTGAATGACTATGACTTTATTGCCTTTTTGATAATACTTCTGTAGTGTTTAAAGACCACCTGTTGTAAAGTGACCGATATAAATGTACAAAGGGTGATGAATGAAGTTATTGTTCTTTGTTTATCATCATGAAAGCGAAATATGGCCAGGAAGATAAGGTTACTGCGAACTGATAGTTGCCTATCCCACAACACACACTGTTTATTCATAAGTTTGTAGAGGTGTAATCCAA